GTTGTAACATTCTGCTGTGAACGGCGAAAGCAGGATGCCCCCGTCGGGGCGTCGGGGGCGAGGCCGTCGGGTGGGTGGCGGACGGGCGGCGGGCGTGGCGGCTGCGTGCCGGGAAGGCGGTGGAGGAGATCTCGAGTTCTACTCAGCTAAGGGCCGCACTTGACGCTGTAAGCAGCGCGCGGCGAAGCAGTTTGGCGCTTGTGGTGAATCAAATGGGAATCTAGCCCAAGCAAGGTCGGAGAGTCGTGTCATAGGAGAGGAGAGAGTGCGTGGAGATGTTTTGTGCGGGATCAGGCCCGAGTCCCTAGTGTCGCCGGATCGAAGCAGGTAGCTGCTAGCTCCCTTTTTCGTAAAGGAATAGTTTTCCCCCCGATCCCCTCCTCGCTGCCCGGCGCGTGAGAAACTTAGCGGGCTCCGCGCTGGGGCTCCGTGGGGGGTTTCGTGTGTGTGTTCCTCGATTGGTCCCCGCCTGCGTGTGTGTGTATTGCCGGGCGCCTCGCATTCTGTGTACTCTGTCCGCTGCACCTTTGCACTACCTAGATCGGCTTTCTTTATTAGTGGTCACGTCGCCGTTTTTGTATTAGCCTGAACTTCTCCTCTAGACTCGTCTGCGGCCGTGTGCAGGTGGCGCTCGAGAGGGGCTACCGCGCGGCGTCAGCCGTCAGCCGTCACTTGCGGTAGTGCGGGACGGGCTTGCCCGCCGCCTCCATCTTTGCGCGGTGCTCCTCCTGCGACCGCTTGAGTCGCTCCGCCGTCAGTCCCGCCGAGTGCGTGCCTACAGCGAGTCCAGAAGACGCCCCTGGACGCTTCCTGGAAAGTACCCGTCCCCTCCGGCCGAGAGAGAGCGCGCCAAGCTTCTCCTGCCCGCGCGGCGGCGCCGCCGGCCCTCGCGCCGCCTATTGCCCGAGATCGCGCGAGATCGCGCGAGACCCGAGATACCGCGCCGCCAAGCTCCGCTCGCGCCGCCTTTGGCGCGCTCAGCTTTGAACGGATGGACGAGACCGCGGCTTGCGTCTCGACGACGGCGTCTGGGTCTGCGGCGGGGCCTCCGCCTCGCAGCCAGTCGCGCGGCCGCTTGGCGGAGGCGGAGGCGGAGGCGGAGGCGGAGGCGGAGGCGGAGGCGGCGGCGGAGGCGGGGGCGGAGGCGGAGGCGGAGGAGGAGGAGGAGGGCTTGAGGGGCAGTGCTTGGCTGCGGGCGAGCGCCGAGCTGCCCTGCCGCGCCATCGCCTGCGCGCGAGGAGAGTCGGCACCGCGCGGGCCGGAGTACCTACGTCATCAGCCACGAGCAGCAAGAGTTGGGAGGGGGGTGTGCTGCAGCCCTGCGTGCTGCAGCAGGACGCGTGTCGGCGCGAGTGCTACTGCCACCTGCCCTCCGTCTCCCCGCGTCCGTGTTCCGCATCTGTGTTCCGCGTGTGCCGCCACGGCTCGCGGTGGTCTTGGCCAGACGGCCTCGGCGACGACGCCGCGGAGCTCTCCGCCGCCTTCTCCTCTGCCTCGCGCCGCACCTGCTCGCGCAGCTGCTCGAGACGGCGCAGCTCCGCCACCCGCTCAGCGACGTACGTGTCTCGCCTATTAATTAATCATTGCAAAGCATTAGATTATGGCCGGACGTCCCGGGCGACGAGCAGAGACAGTCTCGCCTCCCGTTCTTGTTGGAGATGGTGTCGTACGCCTCGCTCAGCTTGGCGAAGCCCTCCTCGCGCTTTGGGTGCTGCGACACGTCCGGCGCGCAGCAGCGCGAGAGGTCGTCGTACACGCGCCGGAGGACGAGGTCGCCGGGAGGCGTCCAGAGGAGCTTGCCGTCCGCGTCGTAGTGCGGCTCGGGCAGGCGCAGCCGCGCGAAGAGGCTCTTGGCCTGCAGCAGGTGCAGGATCCCCGCCTCCTGCTCGCGCAGCGGTATCCGGCGCTCCTTTGCCTCCTGCCGCGCAGCCTCGACCGCGGCCGCCTCGTCGAGAGTGGCGCCCTGGTGGACCCGGCCAGAGGCCTCGGTCGCGCCGCCGCGTCCGCGCGGGTTGTCGTCTTCCTCCTTCAGAAGCGAGAGGACGTCCATGTGGGTGCCGTCTGCTCGCTCTGCCCACCAGGCGCGCCTCACACTCACAGCCGAGAAAAAGAATTTTACGATTTTCCTCGCACAACACTTAAAAAAGAACGTCGCCAAGAAGAAGACCTTCGAGAGCCTCATCGTCGACAACAGGGTCGAGGTCGCGCGCGCGGCGGGCAAGGCCAAGGCGATGGCGGTGCGCGACGGGATCGGCTTCTGCCCGGCCTTCAACCAGACCGCCATCCCGTGCAAGACCGCCGCTCGCTGCCGCTACGCGCCGTGCGTCAACTTCGAGGCGCTCCTCCACTCCGCCTTCAAGGACACTATCTACGAGCGCATGCCGAGCGCGGTCAGGCTGGGCACAAGCCGCGGGCGGCGCGGGCGCGGCGGCCGCGGCGGCGGCGGCGGCGGCGGCGAGGTCAAGAGCAACAAGAAGAACTGGGCGAGCGTCGCCCGCGGAGCCGCCCGCTCCTCCTCCGACGGCGGCCCACTCCTCGAGTCCAACGAGCCCTCCCTCTACGAGGGGAGCGACGAGGATTTCTAGGAACGGCCGCCGAGCCCTTCCCGCAGCGCAACCCTAGCAGCGCAGCGGGCAGGGCGGCTCGCGCAGCGCGCGCGCGATCGAGCGAGGGAGCGAGCGAGCGAGCGAGCGAGCGAGCGAGCACACACACACACACACACACACACACACACACACACACACACACACACACACACACACACACACACACACACACACACACACACACACACACACACACATGTTGTACACATGCACAGACACACAGCCCCTTCCCCTTCCTCAAGGGCGAGGACACGCGCAGGGGCCGCACTTCTAGCGAGGCCCACAGAGTGGGAGACTCCTATCACCGCCACTGCCACCCACGTGTCAGTCTGCCTGTGGTAGAAGAGACTGCCGGTGAGACGTCGGAGGAAGGTCGCTAGTCGAGAGAGATCGCCAGTGGATAGGGAGTCCACCGTGCTGCGAGCCTGTCGCTGTCCCTTGTCAGGAGCAGGAGAACTAGGAGAGCGCAACCAGTAGGAGGCCCGCGCTTGCCCCCGTGCCGCCGGGTGCAACCTGTCCTATACGAGAGATGGGATTCCTGTCGTGAGGGTGAACCCCCTGCCCAGCCCCCCTCCGTGTCGCGATGCGCTCCCCGCTCCCGTTCCCCTGTGTCCCTGATCGTCCTACAAGATCCTGCTTGTGCAGGTGGGGACCCTGTCCTTCTCCCACCCCTCGTTTGGCGTGTCCGTTGTATTTATTTATTTATTTAAAAAAGAATGTGGGCCCTAGAGCGATGCGTCATGTGTGTGTCCGCCTGGTTTTATTAAATGAACTCGGGGGCACAGGACGCGGTACAAACGGGGTACACCAAAAGGCACAGGCTGCCTGCACGGCGTTCACTCGAACGCCATGCACATGGCGCGGAGCAGCATCGGGTTGGTGTCGAACCCGAGCGGGTCCTCCTCCCAGTCCCGGTGCCCACCCTCCGCGTCATCCTGCTCATCGTGCGCGTCGAGCACCCTGCCGAGGCACAGGACCGTCCCCTTGGGAACGCCTGCCCCTCGCGCGCGCGGGAACTCTCCCTGCACCGCCATCACGAACTTCTCGCGCGCCCACTTGTCCGCCTTGCTTTGTTTCATAACATCGAAGGCTAGCTCAAAAAGAATCGACGAGGCACGGGGGCGGCGACGGCTTCGATGTCCACCCCGCCGCGCCGCCGCTCGCGCCGCCTCGCCTCCGCCGCCGCCGCCGCTCCCTCGCCGAACACGCCGCCGCCCGCCCGCCTCCTCGACCTCCCCACGGACCTCCTCCTGCGCGCCCTCTCTCACTGCCACAGCCCCCTCGACACGCTCGCGTCGCGGCCGTCTCGCTGCTCTTCCACGCCTCGCTTGCGGTGGAGGGCATCCGCTTGTGGGCGCAAGAGCGCGGCTTCGAGCTGCCGGCGCAGCCAGAGGGCGAGAGCTGCGTCGTGCGGTGGCTGTGCTTCGCTGCGCTGCTGCGCGAGGCCAACCCGCCGGCGAGGGCGGCAGCAGGCGTGCACCACAGCGTCTTCATCGACGGCGAGGGGCGGCTCTCGTCGTACGGCTCTGCGCCAGATCACGCCCCATGCATCCTTGGCCACGGCGAGGGCGTGACGCGGCTCAACACGCCGACCCGCCTCCCTTCCCCGCTGGGCGGCGAGCGCGCCGTGAGCGTGTCGGCTGGAGCTGGCCACAGCCTCGCCCTCACCGCCAGCGGTGCTGTCTGGAGCTGGGGCTTTGATGCCTTTGGCTCGTTGGGCCACGGCGACGAGCAGGACCAGCTGCTGCCCAAGAAGATCGATGCCTTGGCTGACCAGCGCGTCGTCACTGTCTCGGCTGGAGCCTGCCACAGCCTCGCCGTCACCGCCGACGGCGCCGTCTGGAGCTGGGGCTATGGCCAGCTGGGCCACGGCGACCAGCGGAACCAGCTGCTGCCGAAGAACGTCGAGGCGTTTGCAGGCCAGCGCGTCGTCGCTGTGTCGGCTGGAGATGGCCACAGCCTCGCCGTCACCGCCGACGGCGCCGTCTGGAGCTGGGGCTATGGAGCCTATTGCCGGCTGGGCCACGGCGACCAGCAGAACCAGTTGCTGCCCAAGAAGGTCGAGGCCTTCGCTGGCCGGCGCGTCGTCGCCATTTCAGCTGCATTCTACCACAGCCTTGCCATCACCGCCGACGGCGCCGTCTGGAGCTGGGGCTGGGGAGCCTCAGGCCGGTTGGGCCACGGCGACCAGCAGTACCAGCTGCTGCCAAAGAAGATCGAGCTGTTGGTGGGGCGGCGCGTCATCGGTGTGTCGGCTGGAACCGTGCACAGCATCGCCCGCATCGCCGACGGCAGCGTCTGGAGCTGGGGCGGTGGACTCTTTGGCAGGTTGGGCCACGGCGACGAGCAGATGCAGCTGCTGCCGAAGAAGATCGAGGCGTTGGCTGACCAGCGCGTCGTCGCTGTGTCGGCTGGAGATCACCACAGCCTCGCCCTCACTGCCGACGGTGCCGTCTTCACGTGGGGCAAGGGCGAGGACGGCTGCCTAGGCCACGGAGAGGACCTGTCCAACCAGCTGCTGCCCAAGAAGATCGAGGCATGGGCTCCCGCGGGGCATTGAGGCAAGGCAAAAGGTTACTTCTCGTCTCCCAGGCTGGCGTTTGGACGGGGTCAATTCCCCGGAGGAACGCCGCTCCGAAAGTCGAAGTGCGGTGTGGTGTGTTGAGTTTATCTTGAGGAGACGTCCAGAACGGCCCAACAACGCGCCCACAACGCAGAACGAATTCGTCGTATCGCGTTAAGCTGGCACACTGATCACTGTGCACTGATGACGAAGAGAAGTCTCTCAGCAGAAGCGGAGACGGTTGGTACAGTATATCGAGGGAGGTGGCTGCGTGTACGAGAAGGCTAGCGAATAGACGACGGAGAGTGTTGTGAGTGAGATAATGCACAGCCGAAAAACCGGAACGTACGGCTCTAGCAGCCCCATAGGTTCACACACACCCAGCTACCCATTGGCGCTAAGGGCGACGCGCTCGCCTCGCCGCCCGCCACACGCGACTCGCGAGCAGTGCAACAGCATGATAGACTCATACCTCGCCGTCCGGGTGCGCCTGGTTCCATCTCGTGAACTGTCGCCTCAGGTTTGTTTTTAACCCGATTGAGCCGAGTCGTCGCCCGTTCCAACTGCAGACAGAAACGAGTCGGTGGGTGTGATTGGGTGGGTTCGGGGACGTGATCTGTGGCGTGTGGGGCGGGGTGGCGAGTGCCAGATGTCTGCGCTACTTTCACGTAAACGCACAACCCCTGGCCCCGCCCGAAATCGCTACTTTCACGTTCAGGGCTCGTCCCTTCCCCGACCGCAGCGGCTCGCTGTCTTTTCCCATCTTAACTCGCTTTCCTTTGCCGTCCGTCAGCTCTCCCCCCGTCTCAAATTCGTGGTATCGCGTTGTGCCAGTGTGCTGCGACGAGCGATAGAATTCTTTTCCTCGCGATGTCCACCCCGCCGCGCCGCCGCTCGCGCCACAGGAGCAGTCACACCACTCCCACCCCGGCGCCCACCCACTCTCCACCCCGACATCCCCCCCCCCCCCCCCCCACAACCCCGCCCCCCCCCCCCGACGACCCGAGCAACCCCGCCCCAACCCGACCCGACCCGATCCACCCCGCCCCGCCCCGCCCCGCCCCCCCCACCGGACCAACCCGCGAGCCGCTCCCGGCTCCGCCCCTCGCCCAATCCCCACCCGCGCCTGCGCCTGCCACCCGCGCCGCCTCCCCGACGCGCGCACACGACGCCAGCCACCTCGCCCGCCGTCCCGCCCGCCGCCCGCCGCCTCGCCCGGCCTTCGCGCCCGCTCGCTCGAGCACCGCCCCCGCCGAGAAAAAAGAATTTTACAACCTAGCTCCCTCGCACAACACTGGGCACGGGACTGGCTCGAAAAAAGAATTTTACCACCGTGGGCACGGTTCTCCCTTCGGCTGTCCTCCGGGCGCCTGCTGCGGCGGCGCGGCCGGTTGAGGCCGGGCCCGGCCCGGCCCGCGACGGCTGGCCGCCGACGAGCGCGCTCGCGCTGCTCGTCAAAATGGCGGCGGTGGCGATTGCGGCGACGGTCGTTCAGTCGTACAGTGCTCAGGCGTCTGTCGTCTGTCGTCTGTTGTCGCATTTCGCACACGCGCGCGCCGCGCGACCCGCGTCGCTCCGCGAGGGCATGAGCCATCCGCGATTCGATCCCGCAGCCAAAAGCTGCTCGCGGCCGACTCCGCCATCGCGGCCGCAGCTGTTGAGCTCTCCAGAAGATTGGTGCCTCATATGCTGCCTCCCTGCGGTTGCTGCTGCCGGCGAGCCTGGCGCTCCGCTGTACTACAAGGAAGTGCTGACTCGATCCTACCCCGAATTCTTCTACCCCCACGACTCGGTGGGAACGCGAATGTGACAGGACCATCGGGTCCTTCAGCCACCAAAGCGAGATCACCCGAGAGCAGCTGAGCCTGCCTCTGGCCTCGC